TGAGGGGAGGGAGAGGGAGAAGGAACTTACATGTGAAACAAGCTTGTTCTCTAAATAAAACTAATAAATAAATTAAAAAAAATAATTGCTGATTCAGAGTAATTAGCTATCTACAGTTAAAACTAACCAGGTAACTACTGTAGCACTATTACCCTTTGGGCTAAATGATGAAGCTCTATCATTCATGTGCCCTGTCTGCCTCAAATGTCCCTTTCTTTGATCAGCACAGAAACTGAACAGTGTGGTATGAGAGGTAGAGGCTCTCAAACCAGGTGTTTCTAGCTAAAACACTACTATGTCTATTATAAGACACTCCCTATTTAATAGGGAGACCCTGGGAGACAGTATTTTAGCTTTCTCGGTCTCTAATGTGAGATTCTTTTGAGGATCTCCTGAGATGTTATTTGTAAACTACTTAACCCAGAATTCAGGACATAACTTAGACTCAGCAGCTTTTTATTACTAACTTACCTCTTTGATTTCAACTGCAAAAGTCATTACACTATTTCCTAAGGTTGTAATGCAACTGATATTAATATGGACCTGGTAGAAATATAAATTAAGCATACCAGGTAAACTTTGCAGATCTAAGTTGCCTAAGAATTCAGAAGTTGCTGGTCTATGAGAAATAACGATGATGTAATCATATGGCCCTTCTTCCCCTTGCAGCTGAATTATCCCAAGGTTTACTATGAAGCCTGTAAGGTTGCTGACATGTTTAAAACAAAACTAAAAAAAAATCTACATAGAGGTAGACTCCAGAAGCACATTGCATGCCTGATCCAACCAATCAAAGCTTGCCATGACCACCACATGCCAGGAATGGCATACTCCATGCAAGTACAACAGCCCTACAGCCCTATAAACACCCTGAGAGACCCACGACTTCAACAGAACAGCATTTTCTGGAGTGTCTTCCACTGATTCACACTGTCAGCAAGTATTTACTGAGCATCTACTGTGTTAGGAACCAGCACTGTACACAGCAAAACAAAAGAAAAAAATAAAGCTAGATCCCTACCCTCAGAATGGAAAAGCCAGTACTATCCAGAATAGCAATAATCCGTAATTATGTGAAGTAACAGTAAGGAAGATGAGGCAGTAGAAACATGAGAAAGCCAGATAACCCTTGAGTCTAAATTAAGTAACACACCTCACTGACTTCTTTCTTTACACTATGAACTACAGCTACATATCCAAGTGAGACATTGCTCCATAAGGTAGTGTTCCTGCCTTCTCAGGGGAAATGGCCAGACCACCTAGTCCCAGAATGTAAAACACTGGCCAACACAAACACTAGTGTGTCTAAGATGCTTCTAATCAAAAGTTACCTGTGAACTATACCAAACCTTCCCTGTTAAAATGTTCCTTTTTATCTTCTCTGAAAGAAACAAACACCATCAAATGTATCCCTGGCACACATAGACAGTCCCTTCCCTCTGATTCTAATCTAAGCAAAATAAAAGAGCAGCAAACACTCTCTTTATGATAATAAAAACTCTTCACAATCTTGAAGGTTTGGTTAGTTTTTGTTTTGGACAACTTGACACATGCTAGAGTCATCTGAGAGGAGGGAATTTCAATGAAGAAAATGCTTCCATAAGATCGCCTATAGGGAAAGCTTGTGAAGTATTTTCTACTGATGGGAACACTTAGTCACAGGGTTTGTGATTTACTAAGACTGCCATCAAGTACTAATAAAAGGAAAAAAGATAACAAAAATGCAAAAATACCTCAGCAGAATGTAGAGGAGTTCTAGAATATCTAAATGGCTTGATTACTTATTATAAAGACTAGTAACAAAATATAGCTACTAAGATCAAATACATTTTCAAAACCCTTAAAATCTCTTGTTTTCAAATTTAAAATGTTATTTTCCTTCACTTTACTATGTAGGGAGGAGAGGAAGTCCTTAGTGAATGTAGTCCTGACTGAATGGTTAATATTGATAAGGATTCTAATGCCTTGGACACATGGGAATTAACAAAGGCTACCCTGGGTCAGGCTCAAGGAATTGGCAAAGCCTTCTTCTGGTCTGTGTATGAATGTTGACAGTGTACAGGAAGCATCTATGGAGCCTGCAGTTTCCTCCTCCCGGATATCTAGTGCCTGAACTGCTCCCCAAACGAGACCTCCTCTAGAGACAAACTAGCCCCTCTTCCTCTTCTGTATGCCATCAGAAGACACACATGAGACATTGTGTGTCTGTGCTGCTCCATCAAAGAGCACACAGGCCACCAGACCCCCCTGCTTTTCTCTATGTGAGTCTTTGTGTCTGTCCTTTCCTCATTCCCTCATTTGCTCCAGTCAGGTTTCCAGGACCAACCTGGTCTTGCTGAATGCAGTAGTTCTAGACTCTAGCTTCATAACTACATATAGGCAATGAATACCCCTATTTTATTTTCACCCGAAGGGTTAGAAACCCAGAAACACACTCACCATGGCTCCTCTATAGTAAGCTGTCGTAATTGTTCGGAATCTTTCCTGGCCCGCTGTGTCCCTAAAATTTGAAACAAAGAAGGGAAAGAGTGATTTTAAAATTCACCAGCAACATAGGTGAGGACCCCAGGTTATAGGAGATAAAATCTGATCTGCTGTCAATCAGTGCAGTGTGGCAAGGAAAAGAACAATGAGGCACAAAGACAGCACATTGTACCAGCAGAGCTGGAGGCAGAGGTGGCCACAGGAGTCTGTCAGAACTTACAATGACTTGGGTGAAAAACCAGGACTTGGTGATAAAAGCAGCAACAGCAAAATAAATATGGGGGTCCTGCTAGGAACTACCAAGTGGGAGGAAACAGAGAACAGTTCTGAATTCTTGGTTTCCCAGAGACAGCGACAGGCTACATGATTAAGGCATTTGCTTTCTTGACTGCCTGTGTGATTGCTGTACAAAGCAAACTGCTGAACCGGACTTACTACTGTGTACATTCTGCTCAGCAGAGCAGAACAAAACATGTCTCCTCCAGAGAGCTTTCAGAGCAGAGCCTGCAGTAATTACACACCAACTTGGAGTCCTACATCATTCTCCAAGTTCCCAAAGACTAAACATAAACATCTCAAAGTTACATAATCTTTCACCTATTCTTCCTTTTGAGCTGATCGCATACCACTAAAATATATATAACAGGATGGGAATGCAGCCTACCAGGGTCCCAGGTTCAATCTCTTGCAGCAAATCAGGGCTGTGTGAGGGGGAATACATAACTCTCTCCTTCTCTCTCTCTCCAAGAAATATGGACATTTCTAATTACATTTATAGCCTAAATCCCACAAAAGAAGCCAAATTTTCTTTTTTTTTTTTTAAAAAAAAAGATTTTATTTAGTTATTATGTATACAACATTCTGCTTCCATGTATATCTGCACACCAGAAGAGGGCACCAGATCTCATAACGGATGGTTGTGAACCACCATGTGGTTGCTGGGAATTGAACTCAGGACCTCTGGAAAAGCAGTCGGTGCTCTTAACCTCTGAGCCATCTCTCCAGCCCCAAGAAGCCAAATTTTCTTGATATTTGGGGGAAAAAAATCACTACTTTTAAATTTGCTATTTATAGCCAGAACTAGCCACTTCCTGTGATACTAACACTATTGCAAAGAAAAGAGAGAAGTATTTGTGAAACTATATTGAAAATCTAGTACACATGAAACCCTACCAAGGGATGAAGGTTCGAAAGAAATATAGTCAATTAAAGCAGTAAATATTTTGATATTTATATCTACTTTACAAAATAGTTCCACACAGTGCTCATGTGATGAGGTGGGGTGATACTGTCATCTTTACTCTGCAAAAGATACAATAGCTCAGGAGAGCTATGGTCCCATCTCTGTTACTCAAAAGCTCACAGTCTTAGGGCCACTCAAGCGTTGCAAGTTTCAGCTGTTGAGCACAGGGATGAGACTGTATCTTGTTACTCTCTTCCCCACCAGCACTAGAGATGAAAGGAACTTACTCTGTGCTTAGCAAACGAGGAGAAACACAGAAGCCAAGTACTTTTGAGTGGATTAATCACATCTCCTTGACTCAAATACACTACCGATCTGGAACTAGCATACACATACACACACACACACACACACACACACACACACACACACACACACACAATTTTAAGGGTTAAAATGTTTCTCCAAGTTTTGATGGAACAAGAGGTATACGTGTGTTTAAGTAATAGTGACAACTTACTGCTTATGAATGGCATCCGAAGTATGGGGCAGACTGTAGGATTGTGCCCTCAAAGTATGGTATCTGACACTATCCCTAGGTAGACTGTGCCAGAATTGAGGTAAGCTAAAGAACACCCAGGCAGCATCCTTTGGAGAACTGCTTGAGGGGGTGTGTGGAGGCGAACATTTGTTCCATATACATTTGGTAACAAGTGTTTAAAAATTTTAATTTGTTTTTTAAATTCACAATAGCCTGATCAAGACAAGGCATTACTTATTTTCTTCCTCATTCCTCAAGTTAAATAGACTCTACTTAGTGAATTATAAACGATCAGGGCTATAGAGAACCTCTGCTCTTTATCAATCCAACTCATTTACATGCAAGAAAAAGCAGGGCCTGAGAAGGCAAAATGGTTTGGAGAAGTTTCCCAACAGCTACATCTTAAAGGCTTAGTCTTTGGGGTGGTGGTGGTACTGGGGCGGGGGTGTGGAATCTTTAGGGGATTGGGCTTACTAGGAAGTCCTTAGGTCACCAGGAGCACTTTCTTCAAGTGGATTTTAGGGTCCAGGCCTTCCCTCATTGCTTTCTTCCTAGCCCACAAAACAGGAAGTTTGCTCTGCCATCCATGCATTCCCTGCCACTGCTATCCAGCAGCTCATCAGAGACCCAAACCAATGATTCCATGTAGTCTAGGACTAGCTGAACCAAAGCAAACCATTTCTCTTTATAAATTAAGTGTTTCAACTATTCTGTCTTTTTGTCTATTCTGTCTTTTTGTTTTGTTTTGTTTTGTTTTTTTTGAGACAGGGTTTCTCCATGTAGCCCTGGCTGTCCTGAAACTCATTCTGTAGACCAGGCTGGCCTCAAACTCAGACATCCACCTGCATCTGCCTCTGCCTCTTGAGTTCTGGGATTAAAGGTGAGCCAACGCTGCCCAGTAAGTATTCTGGTTTAGTGATGGACAGAAAGCAAGAAACTTCCCTGAAGTCCTCAATTTAGACTAGAAGTCCATGGTCTGTGACACTCAGCCATTTTGCTGTGTCTGAGTCACAGCTGCAACTACAATGAACTATTCTACGCTTTTGAGAATTTGTTTCTTCTTGTATAGAGCTTTGGAAGAATGGGCTCTGGACCTCTTCTGGATCAGTTTCTGCTTCTCACCTCCCACTCTGCCACAGAACGATGTGCAGTGCTTATTCTCTTTGACTTTTACAAAGGAAAGGTCTGAGGGATTGCACGATGTCTCTAACACCCTGATTTACATTTTAACCCCACTTTCAATTCCCAAATCAAATAGAAACTCCATGTGTCTTCATTTTTTTACTTACCATATCTGAAGTTTAATTTTCTTTCCATCGAGTTCTATCGTTCTGATTTTAAAATCAATTCCTGCCAGAAAACAAAGAAGGATATGCTAAGTTCCTCAAATTCAATCCAAGTCTTATTAGGGAGAGAACAAAGATTTCTATTGAAAAAAAAAAAAAAAAAGCTCTCCAACGCACTGGAAAATGTGAGCACACAGAGGGTGTGAATGGCATGTTTCCTTTGAATACAGGCTGGAGAAAGGAATGCTAATCACTCTGCAAAGCATTCCCACACATGTGAAATGCAGGATTACAGGCCTCATTATTTGGGCACAAATGGCCCACATCCTGCAAAGTTACATAATTCAGAAGGACTTAGAACATATTTCCTCCCTCCTGAAATACATATACACACTGCTCTCAGTCCTCATGCCCCAACCTTTCCCTATAGAAAGCCATGGAGCCTCTTTAAAACAAAATTGAGACTCTGCCCATTTGATGGCATGGGAGGGAAGGATTATTCTATTTTAAACAATCAGAAGGGGTTTCATGTATATCTTAATAAATGTCCCAAGGGTTACTACTGCCTAGAACTGGAATAGCCAGCATGGTTTTTAGCCCTGGCCACACTTTAGAATTCCAGAGAGAACAACAAAGAACTCACTTCACTAGGCCTGCCTCCCCCCAAACTTCTGACACCCATTTAGCCAGGCACAAGCAATTCTTAAAGCTCCCAGTGTAATTTGAACCTGAAGCCAAAGCTTAACAGGCCTGCAGGGTGACACAGGAAAAGTCCTTTGTGACTCTGGCACTTCAAAAGGTCGACACCTCCTCACCTATCCCCAACCCATGACAGCTCAAAACTTCAAAACTTCCTTAGGACCTCTACTACAAAGGAGCACAGAACCCCTAGCATTAAAGCACTATACAGCTGAGGATGACCCTGAATTGATCTCTCTGCTTCTCTTCCTTCCAAGTGGTGGAACTGCCCATATGCACACCATTCCACTGCCCCAGCTTAGGAAGTGGTGCTGGAGAACCTGGGGCTTTCGACATGCTGCGTAAGCACTCTCCTAACTAAGCTATAGCTTCAACCCCAGAAATAAGGGCTTCTGTAGTGATCAGAGATGAATACAGCTGGGCAGCAATTTGTTAAATCCCCCTCATATGCCACTCAGCTGTACTTAGTTTTTTCCCATTCTTTCACCTTTTAAAACACTGAACTCAGTCTCCAATACTCTTCAAGGCCACATATAAACTGGGTGTCCTATAAATGGTCTTGAACAGTAACTGCAGCATTTGGAGTGTGGCGAGGTATCATGCAGCCATGTATAATACTTCTTCACAGGGAGGTGGAAAGCACCCAAAAAGACTGCTTCCCAGCTCCAGCTTTTGGTAATGCATATGCATAAACCAACTGGATTTCACCCTCTCCTCCGGGTGGTACTTTTCCATGGGGGAGCCTTTGCTGCTTTCTGCATGTGGAGACAGACAAAAATGCCACCCAAGCTGTCTATCAAGCTAGCCCCTTAATCATTCTTTTCTCTCACTAATGGCCCTGGACTATGGGCAAATATAATCTGATCCCAGTGTTTCCAGGTTATGCAGCTCACATTTCTTCCTACAGTAGTTGGCACTGCAGGGGCAGCCGGTAATGTACCCAGAACTTAGCACTGTAGCATGACTATCAGTGCTAGCATCCCACAGCACCTATGTCTGCCCTCGCTGTTTCAGATGTAGACACTAGTTTTTATTGTGACCTGACGTTTTAAAATATCTTCAAATCTAGTGTAACAATGATCCTGTAGAAATCCTCTTTGGAACAGGCATGGTGGCTAATGGGTAACTTGTCAACCTGAGTTCAATGCTGTATCCCACAGTGGAAGGAGAGAACTAATCTAGCTATTCCTTTAAGCTACTCTTTGACTTCCATACAAGAATGTGGCAGGTGTGTACCCAGCCCACCCTCACCAGACACACATAAACCTTGAATGCAAAATAAATTAAAACAAAAAAACTTTCTTCTACCCATCATCTCTTTTTGGCCCCCACATCAAGCACAATGGCATTCAACAAATGTTGCTTGAAATTAACATTCAAAAACTTTTAATTATTTTTAACTATGTGCATATATGTGTGTGGCTATGTGTGTGTGCAGAGGCCAGAGGTGTTGAATCCCCTGGCACTGGAGTTACAGATGGTTGTGAGTCACCTTATATAGATACAGGGATTTGAACCTGGTGGCAGACGAATTTCTGTGAGTTTAAGGCCAGCCTGGTCTACAGAGTGAGTTCCAGGAGAGCCAGGGCCATGTAGAGACCCTGTCTTAAAATAAAAATAAAAACAAAACAACAGCCTGGATCCTCTGGAAACGTATGTGCACTTAACTGGTGAGCCTTTCCAGATCAGAGAAATAAAACCAGTAGGAGGGGCAGAGGGGACCAGAGGATAAGAAGGGGGCTGCAGATCTGCAAGCTCTGGAGAGTACCTTACACACGGAAGACCATACTCACCACTGAGCGATGCCCTTCAAAACAAGAGGACAGTGGATTGGGAAGTGTGATTAACTCAAACCCAACTTGGGTTGAGAAAGCCTCCATTCTCAGGTGCTCCAATAGAGAAAACTCAACTTAACTCAGCACTAAGCTAACTTGGTTATTTGCTTTATAAGGAATAATAGTCTCGGTTAATCCCATTAGCCAAGCTTCAGTCAAACCAGGTTCAAAGTAAGGCAAATGTCAAGTTCTAGTCAATAAGCTATCTCTGTACCTCACTCCCTTTTTCTGTATTGTTATCCAGCCATGTGGTAGGCAGCCCTAGAGTATCATTGAACCTGCCCTGTTTTAGGGGCCACCTGATTCATGAACCACTCTGGGCTCAGAAAATACTATTAAATGTAATTTGTTTAAGGCTTGTTTTTCTTTTCTTTCCTTATTATTAGCATATGTATGAGAAAGAGCTCTAGTGTGCACCACAGCAGAGTGTGGAGGACAGAAAACAACCTTCTTGCGAATGGTGGTATTTGGCATTGGCTCAGCTGCAGAGTATAGTGGATTAGCTAATGTGGAAAAGCAATCAAGACCTTTCACTAGAAATGCCTTGAGGGTATTAATATTATTGACAGAACTGAACTGGGAACCTAGATAGGAGGCTTAACTGCTCTAGACCACTGTATCCTCAACTATCCAACAAACAAAACCTGGGAAGGGGGATGCTGGAGAGATGGTTCACAGCTTAAGAGTTTGTAATGCTCTTGCATTGTACTCTCTCAGTCCTCAACATTCATACTGGGTGGTTCAAAACTGCCTGAAACTCCAGTTCTACGGAGTCTGGCACCCTCTCAAGACCCTGGGGGCACCTGCACTCAGGTGCACATACCCACACACATATATACATAATTTTAAAAAATAAATAAAAATACATTTTGGGGTTTTGTTTTGTTGCTGTTTATTTGTTTTTTAAGGGCTAGGATGGAGGGTGGACAAGTCTGCTCAGTGGGTCAGTTGCTTGTCTTGGGAGCAGGAGGACCTGAGGTGGCTGGTACTTTGGGTCCCTAATGCTGGGGGTGGAGACCAGCAGGCAGGTCCCTGGGCTCACTGAAGCCAGTCTAGCCTTACTTGACAAGTCCAGGCCAGGGAAACATCCTGTTCTCCATAACTATATGGATGACACCTGATGAACAACATCCACAGTAGACCTCTGGCCTCCACTTTCAAGTGCACACACGTGTGCCCCCCAAATATTCACACACACACACACACACACACACACACACACACACACACACAAATGCATGCATTCATAATAGTTAGAATCATGAAAAATCTCTTTTAAAAATTGAAGATATTTACAATTAGATTGACAATAATATCAATAGAAATATAGTGGATCAACATTCTCATTAACATTTAAAGAAAAGAAGCCGGGCATTGGTGGCGCACGCCTTTAATCCCAGCACTCGGGAGGCAGAGGCAGGTGGATCTCTGTGAGTTCGAGGCCAGCCTGGTCTCCAGAGTGGAGTGCCAGGATAGGCTCCAAAGCTACACAGAGAAACCCTGTCTCGAAAAACCAAACCAAACCAAACAAAATGAAACAAAAACAAAAACATTTAAAGAAAAGATACTTTTCCGAGACTACTCCAGGGATAAAAAGAATAATTACCAATAAAATTGTATCAATGGAAAGTAGAGCCTTCAATTCAAACTAGTTTAATGTAATCTGTTAACTCATATGGTAAGCCCAGGGGTGGCTGAGGTTCAGGGAAGGCTCAGCCTAGGGGTTCCTTCCAGCTCATTTCTCTGTACCTCCTTGGGCTCTGTCCTTCTGAGGACTGGGTTTATACCTGGACTGATAACAGCTTCTAACAACAAAAGCAAGAAGAAAGCAGACCAAGTCTCTCTTCCAAAGCACTGGCCTTCCCGACTCTTCCTCCTTTCTTTTTTCTTCTTTTTTTCCTTCCATCTTCTCTCCTCCTTTTTTTTTTTTTTTTTTTTTTTTTTGAGGATGTATACTCCTGTATGGAGTGGGTACATGTGCGTATGTATGCATGCATATGTGAAAAGATCAGAGTCCAGCATAAAGTGTAGATCCCCTGGTGCATTCCATGTATCTGTTTACTGGAGGTAGGGTGTGTTGCAGTGGGGGGTCACTCTGTCTACCAAGTGAGTCCCAGACGCTGAACTCAGGTTGGTAGGTTTTACAGTTTTACCCATCTTACCATCTCAGGATACTCCCCTACCCCTTTTTTCTTCCTTCTTTCCTTCCTTCCTTTTTTGAAAATGAATCTCTTACTGGCCTGAACTTGTGATGAGAGGTGAGGCTGGCTGGCCAGGGAGCCCCAAACTTTCACCTTCTGAGCATGAGGAGTTCAATACACAGCTTTTTTCTCCGTAAGACTGAACTCAGGTCCTTGTGCTTGGAACTTTCCAACTAAGCTCCCTCCCCAGCCCCTGGTTTCTCATTTCTCAACAGCTTGTCATAGGAATGTCATGTTCTGGTGGACTAAGGCCAAATGTCTGCAGTAATCACTGCCATGGGACTTAACAAGACTGAATTAATCTAAATTCATCCCAAGATATAGGTGAA